GATTCAACCATGAAGAATTTTGGTGGAACCACCGTCAATTAATTTGATTAGTGAGGGATTTTGTAGTGGAGGACCGTGAATCATTAAGCACTCCACAATTATTCCGTGGGAGTTTTGTGAGGGAAGATTGACCCAATAAAGTCATTGAATCTCATCTCAACGAAAGAGTGCTTCGAAAGTCACAGTAGGAGGGTTTTAATCATCTTATAAATGATTAAATAGCCATAGTGGGAGGTTCTTAATCATGATTAACAATGAATTATTCTGATGATTGGTTTTCACCTTGAATAATGAATCGGTTTTGGGTTATCCTTAAAAATACCATGTGTAGTATTCTCTATGAACTTCCCATTGGAATGAATTGAGGTATTCCACCCCCAGCTCTTTGGCGAATCTGAATCCAATTATATTCGACCATATTGTTGGGTTATCCTTAAGAATATTAAGAGTAATATTCTCTAGGAACTTCCCGTTATTGAAAATAAAGGAAGTAGTTTAACCTCGTATACCCGTTGGAGGAAAAGGAGAATCAGTTTATACTCTTATACTCTTCGGAGTTACATAGAAAAGTAGTTTATACTTGTATACTCATCGAAGACATATAGAGAAGCAGTTTATACTTGTATATTCATCGGAGTCACATGGAGAAGTAGTTTATACTCGTGTACTCATCAGAGTCATATGGAGAAGCAGTTTATACTCGTATACTCTTCGGAGTTACATGGAGAAGAAGTTTATACTCGTATACTCATCGGTGTTACATGGAGAAGCAGTTTATACTTGTATCATCGGAGTCATATGGAGAATCAATTTATACTCGTATACTCATTGGAGTCACATGGCGTCCTTATTTGGCTTGTTTTGCAGTTATGATACAGGAGTCAATTAAGGCTTGGATTTTATTTTTGAGGCCAAAGCAAACCTTGGTGGGATGAAGAACCCTTCTGTGGTACGCACAGTAGTTTGGATTCATAATCCTCTTAGATTCCTCCTGATCTTTAATAGGTGGTAGCTCGATTTTTGTCGTTGGCGAGGAGGTATTTCAAGATGGATGGAACTTCATCATCTTCTGTTATCTCCAGGGTTACTGTTGTGACGTTTGATTGGCATTCACAGCAGTTACACATGTCATCGGTGGACTTCTCTCAGCTTTCTTTCTTTTAAGAAAGCGTTCAACTTGTTCTCCGCGTAGTTTTAACTCTTTCCAAGTGGCTGGAGGCATGACCCACATGGCTCCAGGACATTAATGGAGAGATTATTATGGCAGGTCTGCAGGATGAACTCCTCTGTGACAGGATCTCTGCAATTCATTACCTTGTTACGGAAGCGCTTGACAAAATTGTCGACTGATTCTCTGTCTTTTTGCTTTTCATCCAGAAGGGTTCCGATTGACACTTCGGTGTCATCATTGAAGAAATTGATGAGAAACAAATTTTTCATGTCATCCCAGCAGTTGACGCTCTCAGGCTTAAGACGTCGGTACCAATTGAAGGTGTCACGCCCCGTTTTTTAAAATACCAGGGAATCGGAACGTGAACAAGTCCACGACGTATTAGATTAAGAAGAAATATACACTATCATTATTTATTTTCTTTTTTTTCTTCTCAATCTAATACACTAAGCATCAAATACATAAATCTCAATCACATGTCCCCGATCATAATAGCAAGAATATAAAAACAACGTAGAATAAGAAATAAACATATCATCAAGCAGATCATCCTAGACATAAAATATGGATCCAACATACCCTTATTACAACAGTTCAACTAGGAAATAAGAAATATATAGTCCAAAAGAAAGTAAATACTAATAAATAACTAAATCCATCATCAAACTAAAGAAATACTGTAAAAAGAGTTCTAATATTCATCAGCTACTACAGAAAAGAAAACAAGTTTAGGATTCAGTTTGTTCTTCCACTCCATCGGAAGGACACTCCGACTGGGCATACACCGGCTCTGTTGCATCATCAAACTAAACCTGTACGTCCCCTAAGTTTGATGCACACCAGAGAAAATAGGTGTACGTCAGCGTGCATGGCACATAGCAAGATCTCATATGAACAAATAAAACGGTCTAACGACCCATGCTATGACAATAATAATACTAACAGGAAAGACAAGATATGTGCAACTGGAAATCTAATGATAACATACAGCTATGTGAATACAGTAACTGGGTCGAATACTAACCAACCTAAAGCTCAGTGGTCCACATATCACACAGAGTCAACGCTCATATCATCGGATAACTGACTGTTCACAAATCCCCTATGTGCATCCAATACGCCGCTATATTGGATCGGTCAGAGGGCTACACGTAATCCGATTTCAACCTGGTTCGAACTCAAGCTAAACTCGGGTGAATATTAAATTCACGGACTAAAGTGACTACACTGGCTTCACTTTGACCCAGCAAACTAACCCCAAACTACACTTGATCATAGGGCGAGCCTGGAAGATACATCAACAACTATATCCGATCATATGAATATTGACTTCCTCATCCCAACTCCTCTCGTTTTTCTAAGTCAACCATAATCCTCATTGAAACTCTGGTTCACCATCTAAACTCAGTCAACACAACCACACATATCACTAGGTCTGTTCATGACGCACAAGACCACTAAGTCATGAACTACTAAGGTTCTCAATCACTACAAGAGGCAATAAATAAAACTAATTATATACAATGATAACATGTCATGTCAAACATGATTAAGCAAGTTCATAAGGCATGAGTAATAACTGCGAACGAAATACGAAATGCATGAACAGAGTCTACACAGCATAAAAATACACGTAAATAGACTTCATTAATATCTAACTACCAAGGTGTCCAAACTTCTCATGCAAGCTATCCATAATTAAGTATCCTCTAATATAATAATGTGGTAAAAAAGAAAACTAAAGACCGACATCATTTTGCACATGAAATATCACGCTCTACGACTAACGTTATACGCTTTTAATTAATAAAAAAAATTCCTTTTCTAATAATTAATTTCTAAAACTATTTCTCATCATAAATATTATAAAATAATATATTTATGTAATACATACATATATATGTTAGTTCTTTTCTACATGAAAAGCAACATTTCCCTATTTTATAAATTACCTTTAATTTATTTTTTTCAATATTATTCCGTAAAATCTAATTTTAACACCTAACTTGTCATTTCATGTCCGTAATATCTTTAAAAAAATACAATTAATAATATTATTAATCTAATTTCTACTCGTGTGCTCGTCATTTCATGCTTGTCAACTTTCAGGCATAAGCTAGTATTATACATCATCATTCCACGCAGATATTCAAATATGCACATTAATCACCATAATGATATTATAAACAAAATAATATATCTAACTAAGATAATTAACAATAAAAAATTATAAAAAGTTACTAATTAAGCGACGAGATCTTGCCTTGGCGCATCGAACAAATCGACGTCGACGGCACGGGTCAGATCAGACGCGATGGAACGTGGCGTCGGAAGGAACTTCAGCGAGGGACTATCCGGTGATGGGGCAGTGGCGTGGGCAGCGGTTGGGCTGATGGTGGTGGTGAAATCAGGTCGTGGTCGTCAAGGGCTGGGCTGGTCGATGGAGGTGGTGGACTTAGGCTGGTCGGATCTCAGCGGGTGTGGCCCGACGCGGAGAGATGCGGGGCCTTGGCGGCTGGGCTCAGAGTCGGTGTGAAGGGGTGTAGGGGTGAGGAGAGAGGGTGGAGGAGGTTCTAATGAGTTAGGGTCTATGGCGGCTGGGCGCTACGGACGGCAAGGAGAGAAGAGAGGATGACGGCGAGGCTTAGTAGCTGAGTGAGCCGAGGGTGGTAGGGCAGGCTGAAGGGGCAGCTTTGGATCTGGCGGTGGAGGGCTGAGGTGGGTAGTGCTTATGGAGGCAAAAGGCGGAGCGGGTCGTCGGAGAGAGGAGCTCAGGCGCAGGTGAAGGCTTAAGCGCGGCCGTGGGGTGCTGCTCGCGGCGTGACGAGGCACCGCGCGTGGCGCTATTGTAGGGAGGGGAGCGAGCGAGCGGCACGAGATGGAGAAGTAGGTGCGACTCGAACGGCCGGTCTTGCTGGAGGCTGCGTTGGGTTGACCGACGGAGGGAGAGGGGATATATATCTATAGTATTATATATATATATAATAATATATATTATAATATATAATATATATATATATAGATATATATATATATATATAATATTAATATATATATATATATCATATATATATATATATTATATTTATATATTATATATATAGGAGAGAGAAAAGGGAGAGAGAGAAGAAGAGACGAGAGAGAGAGAGAGAGCAAATGATAGTGCGCCGGCTGGTTTTTGAATGTAGGGCTAGGCGTTTGCGTTTACAGGGTTATATATATATAAATATAATATTAGTTAGGGTTAGGGTTAAATAACAAAAAATAATTAAAATAAATAATTACGGGTGCTTAAAAATTAAACTAATTACAGAATAATTATCTACAAATATAAACGTACATGTTGTGCTAGTACAATAGTTAATACGAAATAATTAAAATAATACAATAATTTATATAAATAATACGTAATTTATAATTCAACATAATACACGAAATAATACGTAATAGTATCAATAACACAACAGATTAACTCCAAAAACTTTTACCGTATAAAATAAATTTATAAATATTAAAATCATTTAATTAAATATAAAATTTGGACTTTAAATCATAGAAAATTTTAGAAGGCCGAGAAAAATACAAATATTCTTTTAAAAATAATAATTAATTGTTTAAAAATACTAAAAAATTATTTTAGCTAGTATCAAATTTTATGGTCACTAGATCCTACCCTCCTTAAAACAAATTCTGTCCTTGGAATTAAAATAACAAGAATGAAATATAAAGATAGATTCACTTCAACTCATATAAGGTTCAAAATATATTGCATATCCATAAATAAGAAAAGTCATACAAGGCGATTCAAATAAGATACAAGACAAAACCGCTAAGATTCAGGAAATAAATGAGGGTATTGCTGTAGCATCTCAGGCTCGGTTTCCCAAGTCAACTCTTCAGGAGAATCTAGGTGCCACATCACACGAACAAGCGAGACGGTCTTGTTATGGAGGGTCTTCTCCCTTCGGTCCAAAATTTCCACTGGCTGCTTCTCGTATGTCAAATCGGATCGCACCTTAATCTCTGAGAAATCTACGACATGTCTCAAATTTCCGACGTATTTCCGTAACTGAGAAACATGGAATATGTTATGCACTCTAGCCAGGGCGGGTGGTAATGCAAGTCGGTACACCACTTCTCCCACTCTCTCTAATACATTGAAAGGACCCACATATCACGGACTCAACTTCCCACGCCTTCCAAAGTGAATGGTGCATTAGTTGGGGGAAATCTTTAGGAACACATGATCTCCTGGCTGAAACTCCAAGTACCGGCGCTTCGCATCTGCCCAATGCTTGAATCTGTCCTGTGCTATGCGAAGTCGCTCCCGAATGATCCTGACTGCATCAACTGATCTGTCAATTAACTCCGGCCCAAAAATCTCTCGCTCACCAACATCGTCCCAACTCAGTAGAGAACGACACTGCTTACCATACAGTGCTGCAAAAGGGTCCATTCCAATACTAGTCTAGAAACTATTGTTGTATGCAAACTCCACCAAATGCAAATGATCTTCTTATGACCCTTGGAAGTCAAGCATACAAGCTTTAAGCATGTCTTCCAAAATATGAATGGTCCTCTCTGACTGCCCATCGGTTTGAGCGTGATAAGCTGTGCTAAAACTGAGACTGGTCCCCAGACTCACCTGCAAACTCTTCCAGAACTCTAAAGTAAATCGGGTATCACGATCCGAGATGATGCAGACTGGGACTCCGTGCAATCACACGATCTCCTACAATACAAAAGATTTACTAACACTATTGGGAAAGGAACTCATTGAAATATATAGAGATAAATATTTTACCTCCATGTATCTTTGAGTAAGATGCTCCGTCGACTATCCCACTCGGAAAGGAATGAAGTGAGACGATTTGGTTGATCGATCTACGATCACCCAAACAACATCATTTTGTCTAGTGCTCCTAGGTAAGCCACTAACAAAGTCCATGGCGACATGCTACCACTTCCATTCGGGAATAAGCCATGGCTGCAAAATGCCTACGATGCGCTGATGCTCTGCCTTCACCTGCTGACATACAAGGAACTTAGCCATACTACGAGCCACATCTCTCTTCATACCATGCCACCAAAAGTTCAGTTTTAGATCCTTATACATCTTCGTACCTCCAGGGTGAATAGAATACGGTGAGCTGTGAGCTTCTTGTAATATCTCCTCTCGAACATCTTCTCCTGGTATGTAGATATAACTCCCAAATTATAAGGATCCATCCTCATAAACAACAAATTCTAGTCGAAGACCAGCCACTGCTAACTCTCTACACTTCTGAAGAAATGAGTCACTTGTTTGTGTAGCCTTGATTCACTTGACCAGTGTCGATTGAATCTGAAGATTTATCAAAGAAGTGGTGATTCCTAGAAGATGAACATTCTATACCCATATCCTGCGTCCATTGCTGAAGTCTCGCATGAGCCGTAGGGTGCATGACAGTTGGCAATCGGCTCAAAGCATTGGGTACTACATTGACCTTACCAGGGTGGTACTGAAGATCAATGTCGTAATCCGCCATTAGCTCTAACGATCGGCGTTGCCTTATATTGATCTTTTTCTGAGTAAATATATACTTCAAGCTCTTATGATTAGTGAACACCTTCACTTGCTCTCCCAACAGATAATGCCTCCTGTAGGCATCAAAAATTGCCCATAAGTCCTTGTACGTGGCTCGAGGTAGAGAGAAGACGATGAACGTTGCTATTCGAGCCAGGGACACCAAGAGGTGTCTCGGCCAAGACATGGCTGAGACACCAATGAGTGTCTCATCCTTCTACTTTTCTTAGAATTCGTGTGTGAAGATTGTAGGCATATAAAATTGCTTATAGGTCCCCTAGCATAGCTCGGCACAAACCGACGAACCAACGAGGCGACGAGATCGACGAATCGCACAGAAGCGACGGAATGCATCCATACGCGTTCGGAATCAAACCAAGTGTTAAGGAATCAACGAGTCATCCAATCGAGAACAGACTCGGACGAATCGCGATCGAATCAAGATCAGTTTTGGACTCGAACTCAGAAGCGGATTTACTGCCAAATCAGGAATCGGATTTACTGCCAAATCAGGAATCCGACTTACTGCCAAATCAGATCAACCAATCAGAATCTCAATCAACCGAATCACGGACAGAACCGGAAACAACGGAAAACAATTCGAAAAAGTCAGAAAAAACACCGCCCGCGGGGGCTCGGCCAAAGCCGAGCCACCTCAAGAGCCACCCCAAGGTGGCTAGGCACAGTGTCGGCCACCCCGAGGTGGCCGACAGTGGCCCGAGGTGGCCGACAGTGGCCAGAGGTGGCCGACAATTCCCTTTTTGCAGCCACTGTCCTGAGAGCCTATAAATAGGCCTAGAGATGTTCATTTTCGGGGGTCGAACTTTCAAGAGCCGAAACTCTGCCGGATTGAAGAGTGAACTCGGAGCTTGAAGACCAGAAGACTTGCACCATTCAGATCTGATCCTCGGCGACCATCCACGTCAGAAAAGGCAGGATCTCGAGAGGAAGAAAGAACAGATCTGAGATCTACACGAGGCTACACTCCAGATCTAAGCTTGGTCTTAGATCTCGAGATCCGAGCGATTATTCCCTTGGTGGATTAATCCCTCCCGGCTATTATTCCCTTCGTGGAATAATACCCGCATACTCGTGTAGATCCGACCGGATCTAGATCGCGCGGTGGTCCACGGATTAACCCCGGCGCAGGCAAAGAACCCACCAAAGCGAGCGACCGCAAAACAGGAGCTCGTGATTTGTTCACAGAGGAGAGTTGTAATTTTTCTTTATTTTCTTTGATTTAGTTGTAACCGGATCTATAAAAGACCGGATCTTTGTAACCCAAGATGACAATCATATCAATGAAAAAGAAAACAGTTTTCCACGCGAACAATCTGGCGACCACAGTGGGAGCCGACGATCTCGCCAACGAGATCGATGCGTCGCAGCCGCGGATTGCAATCCCGGTCGTGGAGGAGGTCGAGTACGAGTTCGACCAAGCCAAGTTCGAGGAGTACGTGTCCTCGTCCGGCTCTATCTCCCCCCGCAAGTCCAAGAAGTTCTCCTCCGGGAGAAAAGCTCGTTGGTTTGAAGCTGCTCGGGAAGCCCACGAAGCTCTCAACCCAACTGACGCCGAAGTTGCGTCAAATGAAGTTCCACCGACCTCCAATCAGGTCAACCCAACTCCCGCCAACGCCTCCACTGTTCAGGGCGTTGTGACTCTCTCAAAGAGAGCCCGCCAGAGGCGTCGTCAACGCCTCGCGCGGCAACTCGCTAAGGCGATGGAGTCTATGGACGGATTCCGCTACAACGCGGAGCTGAAGAACAGAAGAGGCAAACAGCCTCAACCACCAATGAACGGCGACTCTTCCAAGCCACCAAAGAAAGAATGGGTCCGCGTCAAATGAAACCGTTCGACGCTCGAGGAGCGCATTCGCAAGCGCCACGCGATGTCAGCGCAGGCACGGGCTCAAGCTCAGGAAGCCCGTAGAAAGCTGCAAAAGGAGGTGGAGAAGAAGCCACCACCAACACGCCAAGTCTGGAAGCCTAAGTCTGAAGTGGCGACTCAGGCCAAAAAGCAACCAGTGCAGCCTTCTAAGGAAGGTCAAACTCCGGCGAGTCAACCAAAGTCGCCGTCAATCCCAATAACTTCTCCGGGAGATCATGCAGAGTCATCCCGCAAGAAGAAATCAATTTTGGAACGCCTCGGTCCAGTTCCTGACGTGAGAGGCAAAGCTCCAATTCACGAGCGTTTGGGCCCGATGAAGAAGCCCAGAACGACTCAACATACTGGGGGTCGCCATCACCTCCAGCATGACAAAGAGCTCAAGGCAGCTGCGCGCACCAATTTGCAATTTGCGCATTGAAGTCCAAGATCACGCCGAAAATTCACGCCCAAAAAGGCATGTTTTGAGGCGGGTAACCTTTGAAAGCCCAAAGAAGGCAAGTCAACCTCAGATGGAAACATTATCATCTGATAATGATTGTGTTGTACCTGAGAAGGCGTGCCCGCACACGATAGGTTACTCCGACTGTCAAAATGACGAGTTGTACTATCGTGCTGGGGGTACGAATAGAACCAGGAAGAGGAGTCCCCGAGAACAGGAAATTCAATGTCCCTGTTCCAAACTCATTCGGGCGGTATTGTCGGAATGCAATTGCATTAAGGCGGTCCCCGAAAGAGTTTCAGTTTTTGAAAGACTTAATGCGGAAACGCCAAAACCAAGGCCTAGGCGCTTCCAACGAAGAAGAAGGGTGATTGAAGACGGAGAATTTCCGAGGGTCACCACCAACATGACGAGCAAAGGGACATCGGCACGAGAAGATTTCGAGTCGATTCTGAAAGCTTCCCGACCTAGAACCCGTCTGCAGTCCGGAACCATAGAGCGAGCAACTTATGGTAGGATTCGGACAAGACGCCCTTCAGAAGATGAAGAATCTGATGCCGGCTCCGCGGTGGCATCAGATAATACAGTATCCAGCGAGGGACAACCCCGCGAGGCCCTGATGATAAGTGCGGAGCAGATGGCCAAGATGCTTGAAGACGCTTTGGCTAAGCAGAAAGAAAGTTTCAAATTTGAGATGGAGATGGCCATGCAGCAGATGAGAGAAATGCATGACCAACAGATCCAAGCATTGGCGAACCAACAAGGCGAGCAGAATCATCGTAACCCGATTAATGTGGAAGATGAGGATACAAATGCTCGTAACACCAATGATCCTCCCGTCAACGCAGGGGGTGGTAATGAGAATGCTGGCGAAGAAACCGGCGAAAACCTGAAGATCAAGAACCTCGAGAGCAAAATCAACACACTAATTTCCGCTCAAGAGACGAAGAAAACAGGCATTCCTTGCCCATACCCAAGAGAATGGGAATCGATCCCATATCCGGCGAAGTTTAATCTAATTAACTTCACGCCGTTTAATGGGATGGGTTCACCTACCCAGCATTTGATTTACTTCAAATCGCATTTGGGGGTGATCTCTGGTAATGAGCCTCTGATGGTGCGGTCATTCGTCGGCACTCTTCGCGGAGCCGCCTTCGATTGGTATCGCCGCCTCAAGCCAGGCAGCGTAAACAGCTGGGATGACATGGAGACCAAGTTCCTGGCCAACTTCTTCGACGACGACACCGAGATATCTATCGGATCGTTGCTCGATGAGAAGCAGAAGGACGGAGAGTTAGTCGATACCTTCGTCAAAAGATTCCGGAACAAGGCGATGAATTGCCGGGACCCGATCACCGAGGAATTCATCCTCCAGACCTGCCACAACAACCTCGCGTTGGACGTGCTAGAAGCAATGGGGACAGCACCATCCAATACATGGAAGGACTTGAAAGTCCGGGGAGAGCAAGCTGAGCGATTCCTCAAGAGGAAGAAGGCGGAAAGAGGCCAACCGGCGACGAGTGTTCCAAAGCAAAACTTCGTCCCACGGGGGAAAGGTAAGGC